TCGCGTACATGAACGAAACAACAATCTCGAAGAACATGGAAAGAAAAACATAACATGCAACAGAAATTAAAACGATGAATCCAAAAAAGAAAGAAAATTTTGACATGAAAAGAAAATGCACGCATGCATGAATAAACAAAAGAAGAGAAAGAAAGATTAATTACAATTTGGAGATGGTCTGAAGGTGGATGAATGACGTCCTGCAACATCGTTTTGTTCTGTTTTTGTTATGAAAGATTAATTTGTTTTCAACTTTAATGTAAAGATTTTCTGTTTCTTCGACAAGCCAAAGCTCTGTTTCAGTGCCTTAAAATAGGAAGAACGAATAACATTTGACCAAAACCTCGTCTTAGCTCATTCAAATGTATGACTAAAATTAACGTAGCCCCATACTCCATATTTAACTGAAAAAAAAAAACAAGAAAAGAAGGAGAAAAGAGAGTCTGCGTTGTAGAAAGAGAAGGAGAGTATGAATAATACGGCCAATTTCTAAGAGAAGACAAAACGGAGTTGTTTTTTTTTTTTTTTTTTTTTTAGAACACCTTGTTGGTTTTAGGTCTCCCTCCCTAGCCATCTTAAAAAACTTCAATAAGACATAAGATTCACTGCTAAGCACTAAAATCTGCTAAAGCTTTTTCAATAGTAAATTTTCCAATATTACAAGGATAGAAAAACTTCCTAGAATCTTTTAATTTTGGAGCTAATTTATTTTGAATGATGGCACTCTAACTCCTCTGTCAACATTAACCATTCCTTATCATCAATCTTCCTTTTTTGCTCAGGATCTCTTTTAGACTTTTGCACAGCTGGGGCATTTGGAGCAAGGGCTTCAGCAAAAGGGATGTTATTTTGAAGCTTTTTGAAGACATCAAAAGAAATTTAAGGAAACTCTTACATCTTGTGTTTTTTTAACCTTTGGTGAGAAAGGAAATAGGTGGTAGGGTTGTACTTCCTCTTTCTTTTCTAGGTCATGATGGGGACTTTTTTCTACTCTTCCTTTCTCTTCTCCAATCCTGGGTGGAATCCTTTAACTGTTTGCCACTCCTCAAGGTGATAGCTTGTACTTGTTCCTTAGGTAATTTTTTTCAGTATTAACTAGGCAATGTACCTTGGGGTCAGGAGGCCATTAGTTGCAAAACTGTCCCTATTTGAATCTCCCAAGTTCCCTTATCGCAGCTTGTTTTGATTTTGTTGTTTCCTCGGTTTCGTTTCATGAAGTCCATGTGCGAATTTAAGCGGGAAGTAAGGAGATCATCATGAGACTTTTCCTCTTGAGGTAGAAAACCTGGTGGTGCGTTAAAAGGCGTTGTTTGGATTTCCCAATACGAAAGAATTTAAGGGTGATTTCTCCAACCTGTTACATAAAGAGTTAGAGTCGGGTAATTCCCTTTCCTTCCTTGATTCATCACATAATTTACTTGCTCCAAAGTTTTTAATGGATTTAAAGAATCTAACAGCATTCTCTCAATCTCATTGTCCATTACCCATTACACCTGTCACAGGCTTGCACAATAGAATTAACCGAGTTAGTAGTCAACAAGTCCAACTTCCTTACCATATTATCTACCTTGGCATTGAGTGCGGTGAGGGCATCAATTTCATAAACTCCTGCAGTCTTCTTCCTTTCGAAGTTGCTTTGATAATGGCTATTGCTTGCCATCTCCTCTATCACGTCATATGCCTCATCGATTTTTTCAAAGGATCCACCTGCAGCTGCATCTAAAGTGATTTTGGTGTTAGGAGATAATGCATTATAAAAAGTTTGTACCTGTAACCACTTAGGTAAGCTGTGATGTGGGCACTTTCTCAATAAGTCTTTGAATCTTTCCCAAGCTTCATATAGGCTTTCTTGATCATGATGAGCGAATGTCATTATCTCATTACGCAATTTTGTGGTTTTTGAGGATGGAAAGAATTTTTCTAAGAACTTTTGAGCTAATTCTTCCCATGTTGTGAAACTTCCAGCGGGACATGATTATAACCAGGATCTTGCTTTATCCCTAAGAGTGAAAGGGAAAAGTCTTAATTTGATTGCATCTTCAGAAACACCATTTTGTTTGAAAGTATCACAAATTAAAGATCGCAAATCTCCAGGAAATTAGTGATATGGGGGATCTTCACTAGGTAAACCTCCATATTGAATTAAGGTGGAAAGCATTTGGATAATTGCAGGTTTAATTTCAAAATTGTTAGCTTCCACCTTAGGTCCAGTGATACTCGAGGTTGTTCTAGTGAGAGAAGGTGTTGTGTAATCTCGCAAGGTGCGGACATGAGGTTGAGGTTCGTCCTGAGGGTTAACTTCATCGTCATGTTTGCTTACTGTTCTGGTTTGTTCTCACATGCTCTTCTAGCAGCGTTGTTCCTACAATAAGTTTTTTCGATTTCTAGATCAAAGATCAAGGGTTCAGTTCTACTTTATCTTCTTGGTATAAACACCTGAAATAATCTTCCAGAAAAATTAAATTAAATAAATAAAAAATAGAAACAAATATCTAAATTAATAATAGGATAATTAGTATTGATATAGGTATAACGCCAATCCCCGACAACGGCGCCAAAAACTTGACAGTGATTTTCGCAAGTGTACAAAATCGCAACAAGTAATATAGAATGAGTAAAGTATCGTGTCCATAAGGATTGTATACCAAGTACCAAAATTATGTTAACCTACTATTATTTAAACAGCAATAATGGGAGTTATTTTAAGAAATTAAATTCAACAAGTAAAAGAGAATAAAAAGAAATCAAGCAAATCAATTTTGATTAAAAGAAATCAGGGTCTAAAGGCTACTAGGGATTTTGACTTCACTTAATTCTATCTAATTTATTTTATTAGTTCATGAATCAATTTTAATTGTTCAAGTAGGGGAAACAACCCTAAAATCACTAACAAGCTCTCCTGATGTATTATTGGCTATTTTAACTCGGTCTAATGACCTATCTTCCAATAGTGCAATCAAACATGGATTAAATCGTTATGTTTTATAGTTTGTTTTGTGAATTCATAACTTAAGGTCATTAACTTATGAAAACCCCCCCATGAGTCAAACCATATAGCTTCCGCATCAAGTTATTATCTTAATTCTCAGTGTAATTTATTACTTTTTTTATACAAGAAACCCTTCTCCTTAATAGTGAATTAACCGAAATAAATCATCCAGGGGAAAACTTGCCTGCAAGCATTAAGTTTAATTAATAATTAATACCTTTGAACAAAGAAAAACAAAATCTCTATAATAAATTGGAAAAGAAATTAAGCTACATCAAAATCCCTAGTATGAGAGTTTAGTTCGACATAACGTAATTAAATAAAACTCATAATACTTGATAAAAAATTCATAATCCAATCAGAATAAAGAAAGACATAAAACAAGATTAGAGTTTTAGAGATAAAACTAGTCAAACAATTAAATTCTGGACGGCTTCCTTGAATCTTTGGCACAAAATCTTGAAACACGTGAAAAGTCTTGGAGAGAGAGAAGAACAATAGAACAAAGATTATTAAAACTGGGGATATCTTTACAATGAATGGCTCCTCTCTTTATATAGATTTCCTAGGAGAAAATCCGACTTCGTTTACTAAATAGAGTCCTCATTAAGTAAGAAATCTTTTAAAAAATAAGAGACTGTTTAGGCTGAATTTCTTCTCAATTAGGACTCTTTTACGCACCAAAATAGGATTAGAACTTGATTTGCACGTCAGGAAAGTATCTCAGGTGGCCCCATGTAAGTGATAGAGACTGGCTGGTGTTTTCGACTTAAAACAACACTTGATTTATCGCACGGGCGTGCTGTGAGGCACGGTTTGGGCAAAACAAATAAAAGAATTTATTTTGAAAAAATCTAATTTCCGAAAAATATTTTTGTTGAGAGAGAAATTAATTTATGTGCTCATATATGAATTTTCTCTATATCCTACGGAGTATCCTAAATAAAAACCTAAGTACTAAGGTCTTCGGATATTTTCACACAATGTAGGACTTCTACGATTTCTTTCCATAAAAATTCTGCATAAAATAATATTAACATAAAAAATATAATTTAAATTTATTTATTTTACATTAATCATCAAAATTTGAGATTAGAAATTAACCGTTGAGCCAATGCAGGGGAGATTGATACGGTGGTCAAAATGTTAGCTGACTATGAAAGAGCTTCTGGTCAAAAAATAAATTTTGATAAGTCAGAAATCTCCTTCAGTCCGAGCGTGGGTAGGGAGACTCGGGAGAAGTGCAAGCATAAATTAGGTGTGAGAGAGGTAGCTCAATCTTCCAAATATCTGGGTCTACCGGCGGTGGTTGGAAGGAAAAAGAAGTAGATTTTCCGTTTCATAATTGACAGGGTAGAGCAAAATCTTAAAGGGTGGAAGGAGAAGACTTTATCAAGGGCAGGTAAAGAAATCCTCATCAAATCAGTGGCACAAGCTATTCCAAACTATATTATGAGCTGTTTTCTCTTCCCATTGGAGGTTTGCCGTACAATTGAACCACTTATTGCAAATTTTTGGTGGGGGCAGAAAGTTGATGAGAAAAAGATTCATTAGAGCTCATGGGACAAGCTTTGTTATTCAAAAGCAGGGGGTGGTGTTGGGTTTCGTGATGTTGATATTTTTAATTTGGCTCCGCTGGCCAAGCAAGGATGGCGGCTTCTCAAATTTCCTATTTCGATGCTGGCTAGAATTTTGAAAGCGAGATACTACCCAACGTCTAGCTTTTTGGAGTCGAGGAGGGGTTTTCAACCTAACTTCACATGGTTTAGTCTGGTTAATGGTAGGTGGATCATTGAGAGAGGGTGTCGATGGCGTGTCGGAAATGGAACAACTATTCGTATTTGGCATGACAAATGGCTTCCTAACGGAGCTACACTCCAGTTTCAATCCTGAATCACACAGCTACTGTAAGTGATCTTTTCGATTTTGAGTCGCTTACATGGAATGATAATCTTGTTAGATCCATTTTTACTCCAAGTGAAGCTAGGACTATTGTTGTGATACCGTTGAGTTTATCTCGTCCTGCTAATATTGTTATTTGGAATGAAACAAAGGATGGACAGTATTCAATTCGGAGTGGGTACCTCCTTGTTATTTGGAAGCAGGGTAAGGTAAAACATTTTCTCTTCCGTGCTTATATAATCCGGTTACCCGTTGTAAGAGAACTTAACAAACGGGGGCTGGATTTTGATCCTGTCTATGTTATGTGTGGAGAAGGGCTTGAGGATGTCACTCATGTGCTTAAGGATTGTATGAAGGACAGATTTGTTTGGCTATAATGTCCATTGCGAATTCGAGTGGATCAATATCTGCAGGTGCCTTTCTTTGACTGGTTTTAGGAGCTATCGCAACGTCTCTGTCAGGAACAACTTCACATCTTTTCCATGGTCGCGTGGTCTCTTTGGCGAGCTCCCAACCTGCAGAAGTTTCAACAGAAAACTCTAAATGTTGAGGAAGTGGTTCAGTAGGGCTTGCAGTGTTTGTTCGATTTTCAATCAGCTAATTTTGGCGATAGAAGTTCCAGTAACGAAGCAAGGACCGTTCTATGGGTCCCTCCTCCGGCACATAGTTTTAAGCTAATGTTGATACCTCTTTTGGGTCTTCTCAAGGTTGTGGGCTTGGCTCTGTGATTAGAGACTCGCAAGGTAGTGTGATGGCGTCTGGTTGCAAGCTTGTGCAACTGTTGTTGAGAGTTAACCAAGCGGAAGCAGAAGCAGCTATTTTCGGTTTACAAATGGCCCTTGAGTTAGGCTTCTCTTCTTTTATTTTGGAAAATATTATAAAATTTTGACAATCAGACTTATTATTTTGTAAATCACTAACTTTTTTTCTTTTAAAAAATTATCTTTTACAAAATATTTGAAATTGTTATAAAATAATAGCAACTGGAGTTGTTGTTTTGTAATCAACCATTCTACAAAAAAATGCCACTTCTTCACAAATTATTAGGAAATATTGTAAAATATTGGTAACTTAAAGCTATTATTTTCTAATCCAACAACTAAAAAAAAAAGTCCATTTCTTATAAATTCTTAAAAAGAATTATAAAATATCTTGTGTTTGCAGGATTCTTTCCTAATTAATGCAGTTATTTTATTCCTACAAAAAAAAGCTATTAAATTTTGTAATATTATCATTTTTTTTTTTGAAAAAAAAAGATATGAGTGTACAAAATATATAAATTTGACAATACAGACCTATTTATTATTTTGTAAATCACTAACTTTTTTTCTTTTAAAAAATTATCTTTTACAAAATATTTGAAATTGTTATAAAATAATAGCAACTGGAGTTGTTTTGTAATCAACCATTCTACAAAAAAATGCCACTTCTTCACAAATTATTAGGAAATATTGTAAAATATTGGTAACTTAAAGCTATTATTTTCTAATCCAACAACTAAAAAAAAAAGTCCATTTCTTATAAATTCTTAAAAAGAATTATAAAATATTGATAATCAGAGCTATTATTTTGTAATTTAGCAATTTTAAAAACAACTTTTTTTCACAAATTATAAAAATGTATTGTAAAATATTAACTATTCGAGTTATCAGAAACTTAGAAAAATATAAATTATTAAGACATATACAAAATATTAAAAATTGGAGCCAGTATTTAGCGCTCAGTGATAAAGGAGGTAGGGGTGCAGAGACAGCTAGGAGGTTTGCCTAAACAGCCTTATAATTGACTTCACGTCACATCATTATAGAAAATTCACAAAACAAACATGCCTACATCACAGTTAGTTGTGGTTAATATCGTGCAAAGACTTTTCAAGCAAATATCTCAATAACTAAGTCAAGTCAATGCTATTCTACTACAGTAGGAGAGGCTTGCTCTTAATTTCGTAGTCACCCACACAATTAATTGTAGATGGGATATCCTTTTCATTGTCATATTATTTGGTTTGATTCGCTGTTTTCTAGTTAATGTTGGACAGTACTGCATGACGGTAAAAGAGCTGAGGTTTAATGAATTGGAATTCAAATAGTTTAAAAAATAGCTAAACTCGAGCTTGCTTCAGACTTGATTCAATAACTATAAATGAACTCAGCTCGAAATCTATAAAATTAAAGTGATGTAATTTTGATTTAAGCTTGATTAATCTTGAATTATGGAGAACTTGAGTCCATGCATAGGAGCCAAAAGGATTTTAACTCTTTGGGTTTCGAGGCCTTCTAACTCTTTGGGATTGATCTACCATTGGCTGGTTTGCAAGCTAATAAACTGAGCTCCAGTTTGAAAAGCTTAGCAAACGAGTCTGAGGGAGTTTTTATTACGCCGATACTTGAGCTACTCTCGATTAATTTGGCTCATTTACAATATGTCAAATTACATGTATAGACGAGTCAAGTCAGTATCCTAAAATATTAAGTAGGTCCAAAATCATCTCCTCTTGTAAAAATTCTTTAATTTAAGCTTGCATTTTATATATATAAAAATTCCTTTAAATTTAAGCTTGCTTTTTATATATATATATATATATATATATATATTAATATATATATATATATATATGCTCACATAATATAATATAACAAATAACAATTAGTTGACTTTTTTTTATTCATTGGAAGGTCCAATGGCTTGAAAGAACATTGTTGGCTATACGATAAGAGACAATCTCTCTTTTACTCACCAAATTGACCAAAACTTTTTGGTTTAAAGGTATAGAATTTGAGACCTTTTACTTCCTATTTAAGCAGGAAGATCAACCAGAGCATATCTAGTCGGCAAGTTGTTGACTATTATTTGATAATCGTTTTTCTTTTTTTTTTTTTTTTTTTTTTTTTTTAAAATCTGGTAAAAGACTAAATAAGCTTAATGCTCGAATGCAACACTACATCTCTCTCTTTTTTTTTTTTTTTTAAATATTACCACGAATACTGTCAAGTGTGCCTTAATTACCACTAACCGCTCCACGAGGTATTATATCCCTTTTTTCTTATAAGTATTGATAAAACTCTTCATTAAACGATCTTAGATTAGAGAGTCGAACTCACTCCCAACACCCTTAAAGAATGCAAGAGAAGTTATTGCCAAATAGGTTGCTGACTTCTTCTTTTGCTTTTTCTTCTTGAAATAGACTTTTGTCCCAATCTCTAAAGCTTACCAATTCCCATTTTCTCTTCCCCTCTCCATACTCTCACACACAATAAATAGAAGCCATCTAAGATTGCTAAATATACATCGAAAAAAATGTTGTTCTTTAGACTACTTGTTGCTTCGGTTACCATCTTTTGCTTCACAAGTTTAGTTCTTGAAGCTGCTGAATTGCCAAATGATGAAGGTCTAATATTGCAAACCACATGCATATATATAACCATAATCTTGATTAAGACCTAAGTCAATTATGACAAAAACGTAAGTGGAGAGAATATCTATTCTGTATTTTTATTTTCATTGAGTATGCGAGAGAGTGAGGTCGGGAATAGGTGATTGTGGGGGGCTTGAGCCTGAATTGTTTGAGTACTTATCAATATAAGTTGTTACATTACGTCCTATCGCTTAGGCGGAAAAATTAATTTAGGAAAAATGGTCTCTTGTGGTCGTATGAATGGTACTCAAAATCCGAGATTTTTTTCACTCCCCACTTCTTATTGTTTTTTTTTTTTTTTGACTGAAGAGAATTAAAAATTTTAATTTTGTTATAGTTTGATTAATTGTATAATCAGTTTTGCGGGACTTGGGCGTGGGGTGAAGGTATGATCGAGATCCTTATATTTCTCATATCAAGCAAGGTGGTTGGGCATTTTCTTATATTAGAGCATATGACCACTATAGAGAAGCATTTAAATTGCCAAAATATAAGGTAAATATTCCCTCTGGCGGCTGAATATTGGTTGTTTCTACTCACTACATTGGTGAGGAGCGAGTCAGCAAATATGGTTATTATTTGTAGTGTTCTCATTTGTAAAGGAAGGAGCATGAGTATTACACGTGTGTGATTAATCTAGAGATACGAGAGAAGGTTGGAGGGGAATTTTGGAGGAGGGACTCCACTTCTATATATCAAATATTTATGTGTATCAGTAATAAGGGGCACAGGTCAGGGTTAAAAAAATGAGGGTTGGGTATAATTTGGGCTCCACATTTATTCCGAACTATTATTTTGCAATGGATTGTCTACGTCACACACTAACAACTGCTTTTTTTTCTTTCTCTAATTTTTTATTTTGTCAGTGTTTTTCTTATGCAATTGGCTGTGGACCATTTTTGTCCTACAACAATGTTTTTTTTTTTTTTTTTTTTTTTATGCAATGTGCAGTGATTTGTCCTACAATAATGTCACAAGTCAAAGCAAATGTCAAGAACGGAACATGTAGGAAACTTCAGTCTCATTTCTCTCTCTCTCTCTCGCATGCACACATGGTATCTAAATGATCAAATTTCTTGTTGCTTTCCACAGAAACTTATTTGCAAGCTCTTTAATGGGCAATGTATCGTAAGTTTGTTATACTTTTCCACTTTTTTGAGGATTTGAATCATATATATGCTTATATATTCATTTACTATTGCTTGCATCCTTTTGCAGTTATTTAAAGTTTTATTTAAATTACTAAAATAAGTAGAAATGGCGATTGCCCATAAGCCACAACACTCATATGCCCTTTACCATTTTAATTCCCAACATTGTTTGGGAAACAAACAAAGTTAATGCATTGGACAAATAGAATCATATGTTTCTCTTACTAATTCCAATACCATAAAATAAATATTACTTTTATTTGACTATGTGTTGTTAGATTTTGTGCTACCTTTCTATTCTTTTCATATAAATTGTGGAGAAAACAAGTTAAGTGCATTGGATCAATATTGAATTCATGATACTTTCTCTTACTATATTCAGTTATACCATATAAATTGATAATATTTACTTTTATTTGTACATGGTGTTTTAGATTTTGTTGGCACCTGTTGTTCATTCAACTTATCATATAATTGTTGGGGGAAGAGAAAGCTACTTATCATGGTTAACATCTATTGTAATGATCTTGTATTGATATGTAGAGGAGAGCGTGGGACAATACCATAAAATAAATATTACTTTTATTTGACTATGTGTTGTTAGATTTTGTGCTACCTTTCTATTCTTTTCATATAAATTGTGGAGGGAGAGAAGCTACTATCAATGGAACCTTATATGAAGACGATATAGATAGAGCTAGACCTTCAAGATTCTATCAAATAGAACTAATTGGGCATTTAGCAATACTGGTAATTTCATGGATGATTCTACCAATGCAGATTCCTACATCGCCACAAACACAACAAAGCTCTTCACTGGCACTTCTGCGTTATACATGACTGCACGCATTTCTCCAATCTCTCTTACTTATTATGGTTTCTGCATGGGAAATGGGAACTACACTATTGGTCTCCACTTTGCTTAGATAATGTTTACTAATGACAAGACATAAAGTAGGCTCGGAAGGCGCATTTTTGATATTTACATTCAGGTATGTAGCTTATCAATTTAATATAATGTCTTGATGGAATAGCAAAGCATTAAGGATGGATAATTAGCTATAGAAGGCACATCTTGGATAAGAAATTTCCTTGCTATTAGTAACTCTATTTCTTGATGGAATATTACAAATTGGCTATGAACTAATCTGTAATAATTTTCGATTGCCTTGAAGTGTAATTTTCATCTAAAATAATTGATATCATAGTTATTTTACCTTTGACAGGGAAAGCTTATGCAAAAGGATTTTAACATTAAGGAGGAAGCTGGTGGGGCTGGTAAGGCAATTGTCAAAAATTTTACCCCCATTGTTACAAGTCAAACA